ATGAAGTGGAATGGGAGGAGAGATTTTTATGGTGGTTAGAAGATTTTATAGTAATCGAAGCATCATCCATTTTTGCTGCTTTACAGAAATGTCATTTGTGCCAGAGAGCACATAAAGCAATTCCTCTCCCCCCTTGTAGGTCTTTCCAATCCATTTCGGGGTCTGCTGAAGTTGGGAACCCTGGAACGTCGAGGAGCTATGGGCATCTGGAAAGAGTTTTTCTGTGAGCTGTCACCTCTAGAGTTTCGGCTATTTGTAGACTGCGAGGAGCGAGAATGTGTAGAAAACTGTTCTCTGCTGAGATGTGAGTCCTTAGGACGGGCTGACAGTGATGGGCGCTTTGAGCTAGTCTTTTCCAACAAACGATTGTGTCTTCGGGCTTCCTCTCGGGATGAAGCAGAGGACTGGTTGGACCGGCTGCATGAGGCTCTAAAAAAGTATAGGCTACAGCAGGATGAAGGATGGGAAACTCTAGAGTGCCCAGAGGATTCTGAGGATCTCTTTGAAGGTGGACCACCTGGTGACTTGCCTTCCTTCTCGATGTACAATAGAACTGGCCCAACTGAGTTGGACTGGTCATGTGCCTTGAAACCCGAGTTAGATGCAATCAAGGAATCTGTCCTGTACTTGGAAGTTGAAAAAGCATGGGTCCCTTTGGTGTTTTCCTTGTCCTTAGAAGCCTTGAAATGTTTCAAAGCCAGAAATGATAAAAAGATACTGAACAACAGCTTTGGAATTGAGACCATCCAAGATATCCTGCCAGATGTGAGCCTGGGTGGACCTGCATTCTTCAAGATCATCACTTCAAAAGCAGTGCTTAAGCTGAGAGCTGAGAACGCAGAGGAGGCAACTGATTGGCGAGACCTGGTCCGTCGGGTGCTCATGTCCTACCTGGAAATGGCTGAGGAGGCCCTCACACTTGGAGGCAATCTGGATGGCAATTCACAGGCAATCCTGAAGAATACTGTTAAGGAAAATGGGTATTTGCTGCAGTATCTGGTTGCCATCCCCATGGAGAAAGGCCTGGACTGCCAAAGTTTCATATGTGCAGGTAGGGGTATATGGGATGCTTGCAAAAAGATCACTTTTACATAAAGCCTTTTTTTAGTAAGTTAAAATGTATTTTCTCTTCCAATTACACAACCGAGATTGAGGATTTTACTTCTCCATGTGTTCCTTTTTTGTTAATATGATTTTAGAACACAAGAAGTTGGCAGTCTTTGTTATTCCAGCATTAACACTAACATAACTTCAGATTAATCATGGGTAGCTGTAAGTCATTGACACATGAAAGTCTTAAACAAGTCATTATTATCGTACGCCTTTGTTTCACTTGATCTCTTCATTCTTCTTATGGCCAAATATTAATTTATCTGATAGAAATAACAAGAAATTCTTAATAACTGGAATAACTGAGGGGGCGGAGGCAGTCCTGAAATGTCTGATTGTTCTTATTTTTTGTAATTGGTTCATTTTGAATGCCAAAACTAGGGCTATTTGTTTTTAGGGCTATTTGCCAAATAGCCCTAAAAGGAGATGCTAAAGTAAAACTTAAAAAATCTTAAAGGTGCATGTATCGATTATTGGAAGTGACTTTGTTTGTGTATCTCTAATTAGCATGATGAACTCATCTCTGGCTCAGTGAAAAGCTGGTCTATTTACAGTTCAGCGGTTATTAGTACACATGAAAAACGATGTAGGAAGGTCAGGCAATGTGTGACAGGCAGGTCTTATGAGCAAATGCAGTTTGTGAAGCCATCTGTAAATATTGTTCTCTAGTTCATAATCTTCATTGTCATCTCTAAGTAGACCATAGATTGATCTACTTGGTGACCTGACTACATCTTTTTCTGATTGTATGAATGAATGAATGAATGAATAACACATTCGGCTTTTAGTTTTTCATTGCTTACATTGGATTACTCCTGTATCTGTAATTATTTAACAAATATGCAATTTTTTTCTATTTGGATAACTGGGAAATGTTCAAGAATCCTTCAGTATAAAGCTCAGTCTAGAGACAAGGTAATGCCTATGAGCCTCTTACAATAAAGTGCAGAAATTTCTATTAATCAGAAAATATGGGGATCCATTTTATTCCTAAGAATTTCGTGAACGAGAAAACTAAAGGTTATATCTTTAGTAGTACATCTGATAATAAAACTAAATAATCGATAAGAGGTTACGCTTTTATGAAAGGTCAGGTCACATTTCCTGATTTCTAAAGCGATCTTTTCAGCCACAGAATAGAATACATTATTATATTTCTAGGCACTAAAATCAAAATAACTAATAGTTCTGTTCCAAATATTAGCTTTGGGCTTTCTCTGCTAAAAATAAAAAATGACACAGGAAAAAGGAGGGTTCTTGCTTGCTATATATTGAGCAGCAGATAAAAATATATGGTTATGTAATCAATGCAGGAGGTCTGTGTGTGAGCGTGTGTGTTACATATTACATACACAGTGTTAGGAATAACATAGGTTACCTAACGTAGTTTGGGTAAAATAATATATATAAACTATGATTGTAAATTTAAGTGTGTGTCACTTTAAAACTGCAAAGCATGTAATTTTGGGTGCGGTGTGAAACCACCATAAGAGGGAGCAAGAGAACCTGATTGATTGCTGACAATTACTGGATTGCATGGATTGATGGTTTGTTAACTACATGTTTCCCCTACTGCTGAGTTGCTGAAGGAAGAGAGGAGTTTTTGACTTCTTCATATCTCTACTGCAAGGAGATATATTACTGGACTGATATTTGTAAGTTTACTGACCTCTCTTTTTCGACACTGGAATTTGCAACTGAATAATCCCTGGACAGACTGGACTAGTGAATGATATATGGACTGTTTGACTATGCTATAATTCTTACTGGAATAAACTATTTAATTAGCACTGTGTATCTGTTTTACTGAGTGTAAGCTACAAAAACGTTTATCTCACATATTTTGCCTGCCTGCCTGACTGCTGTGCAGATTCTGCTAGGGTGTATCCCTAACACACAGGCACATCTATATGCAAAAAACATAGATCTAGAGATTAAGGCTGAGCAATAGCTGATTCCTCAGCTTTGTTTCAGCTCTAATATTTTTCTCTCACTATAGGCAGTAGCCTAGTCAGCAAATGAATTATGGGAACTGAAAACTGTCTTCTCTGGAGACAGCAGCTGGGGAATAGGTTGTCTAAATACAGAATAGCCAGGACTCAGATTCTTGCAATTTAAGATTACATTTCTTACATTTTGTAAGATTACAAATGTAAGATTACATAATCTTACATTTTGTCTTTCCATTCCAGGCTGTTCCAGACAGATTGGTTTCATCTTTGTGAAGCCTAAGCTGTGTTCATTCACTGGCCTCTACTACTGTGACAATTGCCACCAAGATGAAGAGTCTGTGATACCTTCACGTCTAATTCATAACTGGGATCTTTCCAGATATCCGGTATGCTCAATTATGGTGGGAGAGGGGCATAGAGTATATAAATTCTGTTATGTGAAATAGTCTCTCATGTCTCTTTTAAGTCACAAAATGACTGTAGTTTTCATTATGAAACAGAAAAGCTTCAGAATATCCATAAGGATCTCCTTTCTTTGTGCCCCTACCTGCATTGCAAGTTAGCTCAAATAGGTGCAGGTTTTAAAAGGCAGACTAGCAAAATGTGACTTATCTCTCTCCCTCTCATCCTCAGCAAATGGATTCCCCAGTGCTGACCAGGGAATTTTGGGAACTGAAGTCCACACATTTTAAAGTTGTTAAGGTTGAGAAACACTTTGACTCTTCCGGTTGATGTTGCAACGTGATCGGTGCAGAGGAGCGGAGCTCTGCATCCCTATGGCAAATCCTCTTTGTCAGAAAGTCCCCCGTGGGCTAAAGTCACCCTACAGGTGTGACTGATAAGGAGGGGCACCCTGCTGGTCACGGAGAGTGGTGGCACTTCTGCTGGATCCAGGGTTTTTTCCTTCTTTTTACTGAAGACAGAGGCTAGGCAACCAATATGGCTGCCGCAAAGCTGGGGCAGCCAAAGCAATTTAAGAATATGCTGGAGCGGTGAGAGTGGACAGTGATTGGAACTGGATGAGATGATTTTACTTTTGTCAAGAATTTGCCCAAAATAAATTTCATCCATGAAAGTGACTCTTTGAATTTTTTTTAAAAACTTTACAAAAAAAACAATAGACTGAGAAACACTGATTTAGCTCAAGATGGCAGGGACCATAAAATGAGAAAGCTATGGGTAAGGTAGCATTCTGATTAGGATTTTTCAACTTCTGAGCTGTTACTGTTTTCTTTTTCTATCCTCTAATTATGGCCAAGCTCAGTAAAGAGAAAAAGTGTACTTTTCTCAAGACACAATCTTAGTTATCAGAAGACAAACTCAGCTTTTTTCATTTTCTTCCCTTTTGTTATTACAAAGAAGTAGCCCCACTGTGAGATGGGTAGCAAATTAATTACTTAAACAAACAAACAAACTTCCAGTTCAACTTACATGAAGGTACTTACTAGAATGTGAACCAGTGAGAATGGCATGATCTGGATTTCTTTTTATAAGTTATAATATTCTTTTGCATTTCCTCGGTGTCCCTTAGGGGCTTTTAGAAGAACATTCTTATCTTGTTGTCTCTGTCAGATTTGTTGCCAGGCTCTGAAATTCCTAGCCAAAATTCAAAATCAACCCTTGATTGACCTGAAGCTGGTGAATGAAACCCTCTATGACCATGTAGAGCAAATGAGACAGATCTATCAGAATCGTGAGCAGCTGAAGCTACTGGGTGATTACCTTGTCCTTTGTCGCAGTGGTGCCCTGAAGGAGATCAGTAAGAGGTGAGTCAAAGGCATAAGAGACTGATTCTCAGTATATTAATCTTAATTGTCCCCAGCCTTCCGACACAATAATAAAGAAGCATTCTGTTTCCAAATGATGCTGGCTATTCAGTCAGAGATTGTATGTGGATCTGGATGCTTACCATCACTTGCAGATGGCTTTTGCACCACTTTCATTCATCGGATAGACACAGCTACCTCCACAGAAGTTCTTTTATGTACACATTCCCAAGCTTATTGCCATCCTCATCACATATGGTGGAATACTTCTGTTTTAGTGTTGGCTGTTTTGGACATAGCAAAATTCTAGTCTTTATCTATCTCTTTCTGTCTGGTCCCAAATTCAAGAAGCATTGCAAGAGAGAGAAAGAAGAAGAATATTGTTTCCATCTCTTCAAGTCAGGAAAATAGGGGCTTGTATTGGATGACTGACACAGAAGACTTCTGGGGGTGTTTTGGGGGTCTAGTTTGCTAATCCTAAACTTATGTAATCTGATATGTATGCACTGTGCATTCTGATTGTAGAAAAAATATTGCTAGAAAATTAAAAGAAAAAAACCCAATGTATCAGTATCCAATTTGGCCCTGAGTACCATCAGTGTGTTTCTTGAGATCTCTGAGAAATGGAGAGAAACCAGCACAAGGATAGAGCAACGGTATATTTCTGAGATCAAGAAATATGGGTAAAGTATCTTGTGATACAATAGGCTTGATGAACACAAGGCAAGGGTGGAATTCAGCCAGTACAGACCAGTTCAGGCTAACCAGTTCCGGTGATCAGTTGGCTCCACCCACTCCTGGATTAGTCTGTCCTGTGTTTCCTTTGTTTGAAGCCCAGCTGATAGGCGTGGCAGAGCAAAGCGCATGTTCATTGAACCGTTTGTTACACTGGTTGAATCCCACCACTGGTGCAAGGGTTGGGAAGAGAGACACAAAATAAAAGAATGAATGAAAAAGCCTAAGAGATCAGTTTGTGCAGAAGTGGAGCGCAACAAATAAAGCAAGAGTTCTTGTTGCTTCATCAGGGTTTTATTTTATGTTGTATAAAACTTCTGGAATGCAGTGGAGAACAAATTTTAATATACTAATGATATTGTCCTTTGAAGGCTTGACCACCGGCATTATCTCCTGGAGTGTCCCCATAAATACAGTGTGGCTGACCTGAGGCAGGTAGGAGATCTGGAAAAAAGAAATGTTTCAATCTAGAAGCAGGTAGAAATTCACTTCAATATTTTCACAAGAAAATTTTAGCCATTTTTTCATCCTCTAAGCTAAATCCCCCAAAATCACAGCCTACCAACCTTCCATACACATTATTTGATGCACCATATGTTGCATCACTCAGTGTAGAGCAGGAAGCTTTTGAGAGCTAGTCTGTGCATGTTCAGATGCAATCTTTTTCTGTCATAACTTTTTCCTATCTGAAGAGCATAGCAAATAGACAGCTATTCATTGTCCTAGTTTTCTGGCCAATTTGCTTCTCTTATTCACTGGCCAATTTTCTTCTGCTCACCAATTTTTTTTCCCTAGTTCTGTATGTTGCCAAATTTTTTGTTAATTGCATTGGATTTGCATGAAACAAACAAAATGTTAAAAAGTTATGATATTTATGTAGTTAATTAAAAAGCACATCTAAATTATATTAAAATAACCAAAATATCCTTACAAAGCATATCTCCAAAGCATATCACAACTTTTGAACACCCCTAATGTTTGGAAATTGAAAATTAAAAATTTGACACGCCCTAATTTCTGCATTAACAGCTGCTGAACTGGTTTTAAACATAAGTACGCACAAAATGGAAAATCTTAAGTTGGTTCAATTTTAGAAAAAATTGCTGTGTTCTGGAAGTTCTGCCAAGCCATTTTGGATCAGCTTCAGTTTAGCAAAAACAAAACACAGAATATTTGTTAATTCTTTGGAAGGTTTAAGGCAGTGATGGCTAAACTTTTCTGGATCGAGTGCCCAAATTGCATGTGTGCGCAAATGTGCGTGTGCCCAAACCCCCAAAATGCAATGCACCCACTGCCCTGAGCAAGTGCCCCACCCACTCCCATACATGCGCATGCAACCCCCATGCACGCAACCCACCCCTCGTGCATGCACAGCAACGATCAGCTGGCTGGCAGGAGGCACGCATGCATATGCGGTGGAACTGAACTAGAGCGACAGCTCTCATACTCAGAGAAAGAGTGCTGCATGCCACCTGTGGCACGTGTGCCATAGGTTCGCCATCAAGGGTTTTACTCCACTAGTTTTGGGGTTTTTTTAAAAAACAAATTTTATTAATTTTTTAAAGACAAACAAAACATAAGACATAAAAGCATAAAACCTCCTTTCTAAAAGTTACTTATAGGTTTTAACAAGGCAAATAAAACATTATTTTATACAGCATAGTTCCAAATTATCACATTTCCATTTAAACATATATATCTTTTCCGAATTTCTCATTGTTTCTCCCTTCACTTTTATTCAATTATATTTCTTTCTATCAAGGTTTTATTGATTCTAAATCAAACATAAACACTCAAAATACAAAACATAAAACAAAACATAGAAACATAAAACCTCCTTTCTGAAGGCTACTTGTAGATTTTGACAAAACAAATAAGACATTCTTTTATACAACATAATTCCAGATTATCATTTGTGCATATCTTTTCCAAATTTCTCATGGTTTCTCCCTTTGGTTTTATTCCTCCAAGGTTTTATTAATTCTCGATCAAACATAGCTAACCAAAACACAAAACATAAAACATAAAACTTCTTTTTGGAAAGTGGCTTAGCCCCGGGTTACATCTTTTTTTACAGACCTAAATCAAATTCATGCTAACCTTATATACCATTCTTATCTTATTTACCATTCTATATTTTCTATATAGCTTCTCCCTTCTTTTCACTCTCTTAATTATATTTTGTTTATTTCATCTTATTTTAAAATCATTATACTTGTATCTTTTGTCCGTTCTTTTCCAATTATCTATTTATCTCTTCTCTTTAACAGAAAATTTCCCCTGTAATCACTTTTAAAGTGTGACGCCTTTCTATCTTTCCCCTAAATTGACACTTAAAATAATACATAATTTCCATTCTGATTCTGCTTAGTACATTCTACGTGTTGCATTTTAAAATAAAAGAATAATAAATTTATAATATAGTTAAATATGTATTTTCCATTCTAATTCTAATTCTGCTTAATACATTATTTTAAAATAAGAAGATGAAACAGTAAATTTATGATAACATTAAGACAATAACAAATTAAACTATAATTAAACATTGCAATACACTATTTCAAATGCAAATACTACAATACTATCCTATGTACTCTTGCAGAATCTTTCTTTAATTATGCTTTACCCTTTATCTCTGAAAAAGATTCCACTAGTTGATGCCGACTATAGGGGGAACTGCTCATTTCTGTTTCTAGCCATTGAACCAGCGCTGTCCAAAGATATTTCCACAGTCATGTGGCCAGCATGACATCACAGACCACTGTTACCTTCCCACCAATTTGTATTTATTGATCTATTTACATTTGCATGCTTTCGAATTACTAGGTTAATAAGGAACCTGGGACAAGGATGGGAGCTCATCACATTACATGGCACTCAGGTCATGAATATGGGCTATTAACTTTCCCACTGACAAGCTCAGTGTCTTAACCACAGAGTCACCGCACTGCCCCCAAATCATGTGTGAGGTTTGGGTGAAACAAAATCTGAAAGTATGCCAGTTTCTTTTTATTGGACAAGAAGGGCATGTTCACTTTTTTTCCTCCTTAACTTGCTGTATAGTATGTCGCATACCCTCGATCCCTGTCATCTTTCCAGTACCTTCCTTTCCCTGCTGCTGCCACCAATGTCGAAGCTCAGCATATCCCACTAATCTATCCATTCTAGGTCTAGGACAATTCACTACGGCTATGTCACTGCAGCCAACTCATCATGGGATGACTTGCTGTTGGACAATTCCATGTGGGATAATTCAACCCCTTGCTTCTACCAGTCAAGTCTTCCTGGTTTTTTTTGCATGAAAAGACACTTGGAGAATTTGGTCCTCCTTTTTATGGAAGACCCTGAGGCTAACCCAACCTTGGAATCCCCTCCCCCATGCCCTACCAGATCAGCCCAAGAGCAGTGGGATGCCCCCAGATCCAGAGATGCGGAGGCTGTGGGAAAGTACCGATCCTCCTTCTCTTCCACTGCAAGTCAGGTCAATCCCTGGATCCAAGGGTACCCCATCTTCCCCTGCTGCAGTCTGGTTCAGAGAGGCAATGCCAAAACCGATAAGCCACTGCCACTGTCTAGATGGGCAAATTAATGAAGAATTGCACCTTGCCAAGTGCTTCCCAGAGATTGCACTTTGCTCATCTGGCTGTGCTGTTTTCATTCTTGCCTACGCTGGATCTCCCTTGTCCAGAGCCTATGGAACTGCTGGCTCAAGAAGAAAAGGAGACCAGGAGGGGATGATATAGCCCTTCCCACCAAGTTCAACCCAATCCATCAGGACACCACTTACCCAGGTGAAATAGAAGGTGCTGCTCTGCCAACTCTGTGTGAGGCAATTAGGGGGATGAACTGAGGAAATCCACATGGCACCAGCAGGGAGTGAGGGCAGCTGAGGCAGCCAGGGGGGCAGCGGGGGTGAAGTGCAATTTCTGGGAAATGCTCACTGCTGTTGTAGTTCACCGGCAGCCAGTGCAGATGGCAGCGGAATTGGACAGTGAGGAAGAAAGGGAACCAGTCAAGGAGAAGACTTGGATGAGGGTCCTGCGTCTGATGCAAGGATGGGGCCAGGATCATCTGGGAGTGGGGTGCTGCCTTCAGAGCCTTCAGAGTCTGGCAGCAGCGAAGCAAGAGGACCCAGGGGAGCCTGTTCCCAGTGTGGGTGTGTACAGAGCTGCTAGAAAGCGAGAGCAGCTGAAACAGAAGGGGCTACTCGGGAGTAAGACTGGGAGGTGATTGCCCCTCCCATAAGGGATAAAAGTCAGACCTCGATGAAATCTTTGCAGGAAGCAAAGTAGTTCGATAGATTCCGAGTCCTCCTTGAAGCTCTGTGTATTCTGGTCATTATCTTCTGGTACTTTGGTTGGTTTTCGTTAAAATTAATTGGATACTTCTGTTTCTGGCAACATTCCACAGCACTGAAAGGCATGTGCTTATCTTGGGGAATTGTTTATAATTTAGTTCTGGCTAGGAATGAAAGTAATTCCCACTGTTGCAATAAAAAAAAGGTTTTGCTTTTAAAACAAGTTGGATATTAATTCCGTTTGACAAAGCTTGGGTCAGAACAGCTGGATGGCTCGATTCTTGATTAATTTGCTCATCTAGACAGTGGCGGCAGCAGCACTTTATCATCTTTGGCAATACCTCTCCGAGCCAGATCACAATGGGAGAAAGATGGGGGTCCCCCTGGATCCAATGATTCACCTGACTCAAGCAGAGGACAAAAATGTTTGTTCCTATCCCGCCACCTCAGCATGGCCAGAGCTCACTGGATGATCTAGTAGAGAATGGGCAAGGATTCCAAGGCAGAGATAGCCCTTTGACAACCCCTCTCCAGGGCCACAATACCCATGGGGCTGGGGACTTCCATGAAAATTTCTTAAGCCTCGCTTCCATGCAATGAAACGAGGAAGACTTGCCAGGTAGAAGCAAGGCATTGAGTTGTCCCATGTGGAAATGTCCCAAGGTGAGTTTCCTGTGCGAGTTGTCCCACAGCAACTTGGCTGTGTCAACATGGCTGCAGCGAATTGTACCATTCCAAACTAATCCTACTATCCTCCCCCATGATCCTTCATGTGCTTTCCTTTAGCTCCCTCATCTTGGTTATCATTGCTAATGTAAATTATTTAAGCATCTTTTCTTATTCTACCATGGCATATCTTGCTGCCCCACCCCCAACCTTCTCAACACCATCCCTTCCCTGAGAGCAGTTAGCTGCTGCCTGTGTCCATTCAGTATTGCTTACCTAACTTCTGAACCACTTCTACCTGGCCATGACCATATATTACAAAGTTTAAATTCATGCATGAAAAAAAAAAATGAAACGCAATGTATTCTGATTTTGACATAGGCCAGCCAAAACCAGCTGTTTCATGCATTTCAGGTGTTTTAAATCAGACTGGCATCATAAGGGCTTTGGCCATTTTTTGCTGAACAACATGTGTTCCATATTTTGAGAGTTCCTGTGAAGGCAAAAATAGAAGTGATTTCGCTGCTCCCCACCAACCACTCATGGCTCTTCTCTCTTCTTAGATAGCAGATGGTATATTTGAAACTTTTCTTCAGTCGCTGATCCAATTTGCCTCCCACCATGTGTACAGCTGTGATCTTTGTACTCAGAGGGGCTTCATCTGCCAAATATGCAACAAGAATGACATCATTTTTCCCTTTGAATTTGCTACAACCAGCAGGTAAGGGAAACTAAAATAAAACTGAGTTCCCCCATGTATATTGACCGTATCGCGGAGCTTGCTGTGTTAGTGTATCAAAAGGTGACTTTCAACTCTCCATAGTATAGGACTGAGTTATTTAAGTTATCCCTTAGGTTAATTACCCATGACACCCCCTAAAGACAGCTGCCTAACCCACATGCTCTAATATGGTAGGCAAACTTTGAATCCCCCCCTTTGAAGTAGTGCCATCCGTTAGGACCTAGATTGCATGCCTTCTCAGCAGCAGTGCCTTGGGATGAACTTACCACCACCACCATCACTCCACACACATAGGATGCTAAGTTGACCCAAATCCTGTTGGCCTCTAGGAAAATTTTTAAAACACAATAATTTCCCCAAGCATTGGGGCAAGGTTTGTAAGTTCCCACAAGAAGAGGGTATAAATGTTTGCCAAGTTGCTTTTTACCTATTATTGCTATTCATTGTAATTTTATTTTGGTTCCTTTTTCTTAATAAGCTGACCGGAATGGCATTTTCAGCCATGTGGGTCACCATATATATTAGTAAATATTTGCAAATATATTTGCAAATAAATAAATATGTCATATTTACATAGCGTACTCAGAATTAGGTCAGGTAAGAGTCAGGATAATTAATTGAAATGTTAATGAAGTCCTTAAACTTATGATAATGATAAGTAACATAATGCTTATAAACATAAATGTCTTTCTTAGAAAACATTTGTTTGAGTTGGAGTCAGGCCCTTTGACAAAGAGATTATTGAGAGGATACATTTAAAAAAAAATAGCCTTAACACACCATATTTTTTTCCAGATCTGTGACTGTAGGACATCCTTCCCCAGCTTGGCAAGTTTTTATCCCACTAGTTAAGATTATATATGCAATAACAAAGCACATCCAGAGAATCTCCAGGCTGGGGAAGGCAATCAGAAGAAGGCTGATTCATCTTCAAAATCCTGAAAAGATTTCATTCACCAGATCCATCTTTGAATAGCCTTTAGATACAATTGTTCATCCCCCAAAACTATAACAATGGCAATGACACACATGAGGATATTTCCTTTTGACTATGTATTAGAGCAGGAAGAGTGTCTCTGAGCTCAGACAAACTTACTTCCTGCTTCCTGAACCAGACAATTTACCTGTGAAACAGGATGTTCTTGAAAGCTTCCTGATGGTAGCTCTGGGGAGTTTTTTTGATTCTGGTAGTAGTACAGCAATAGCCCCTTCCTTAATCATCATCCTGCCTAGCTTGCAGCTGGGGATAATTATCTCGTGCACACCCTCAGCCAAAAGCACACCCTCAGTCGCCAGTAAAATCAACCAGTAAAGTCATTTGAGGGACCCTCCTGGAATGATAGGCAGTAATGATCTGTTATTTTAATCAACACAGCTTAAAGACAGGAAGTAATCTCAAAATCCCTTCTTAGCTGTCAGGCAGAGGGAGAGTTCCCAGAGGCAAAAAAGTAAAGTGGCATATAAGCCTAATGTGAAGAAAGATAATTATATAATTGCCTCTTGTATCCCTCTAGGTGTTAAATAGTTTTAACGTTGCCTTATAGCTAGTAAAATTACTTACCCATCTAACTGTGTTTTTAAATGTGCCAACTTTAAAGTATGTTAACTTCAACTCAGCATGCTGGCTGAGAAATTTTAGAAGTTGATGTCCACACCTTATAAAGTTGCCAAGTTTGAAAACCCCCGACTAATCTAATCCAGGAGGGTGCATATTTCTCTGGGGGTTGTAATCTCCAAACTAACCAAAATTAAATTTCATCACATTTTATTTCATATCTATGTAATTGAATGAATTTTAAAAAATTTAGTGAATTTCTAGTTACATATTCCCTTTAAGAGATATTAAAAACACAATCTAATAACTTTGGAGACTTCAATAGCATACCCAAAGGTTTTGCAGACTCTCTACAGCAGGGGTCCCCAACCACCGGTCCCTGGACCGGTACCGGTCCGTAGATCATTTTTTACCGGGCCGCAAAGCTTGGGTGCTGCGAGGGAGAGAGAGGGAGAAAAGAGCGCTACGGTATGCCCAGCACTAGTCTCCCTTTTCCTCTCCTTCTCCTTCTCCCCCGTTAACCATGCACATGCATGTGCGCAGATAAAGCTGTTGCTGTTGCTGCTGCTGCTGCTGCACCACGACCCGGAGGAACAGATTGAGTACAAGCGCTGAAAGAGCACCATGGCGTCTGTCGCCAGAGCGCAAGGAAGCAGCAGCCTCTGCGGCGGTGGCTGCTGTGCCTCCAACTTTCCCGGGGAAGGTCATTCCCTGACCAGTCACGTTTCCCGGCCCATGCTTGCACCCCTCGCCCCCCCGCCACCCACTTCCTCACAGGCGGAGGCAGGAAGCTACGAGGAATTCGGTTGTGCTTTCTAGCCGGCTGTGCCAAGTCTTTTTTTTTTTTTTGCCCGAGACTGGAAAGAAGAAGGGCAACGGGTCACTGAGGAAGGTGAGAGAGACTGAGAAGGGAGAGAGAAGCCCTGATAAAGCAGCTCCGCGCTGCTTTAGGGGCTAGTAGTAGAAGGCAGCGGTTGGTGGCACTTGCCACCAGGAGATGCTTCTGGGTTTTCGGTTAGAAAGCGGCGTTTGGGTGCTCGCGCCTTAGTTTCGTCGAAAGGGGGTGGTGCCTTTGAACGAAGAGTCGTCCCGATGCCGGTAGAGTCTCGCGTGACTCAGGTACCGGTCCGTGGAAGAATAAATAATCGTGAAACCGGTCCCTGATTCAAAAAAGGCTGGGGGCCACTGCTATACAGCCCTAGATTCTGCTTTTCCCCTTTCAGCTGCTGTCCAGGGCTTCTTTCTATACCTGCCCTCTCATTCCTTTTGACCTGATAATTATTGGGACAGAAACTTTGACAGTATGTGCGACATACTGTTTTATGTAAAGTTATCTGTTCTCTTCTGATAAATGATATCTGAGTACCAGGGGAGAAAGGCATAGTTTTTCAACCTTTTTTTGTTTTACAGAACTGAGTATCAGAGAATCTCTGAGTAGATAGTTGTTTCAAGAATTCAGTTGAGGAGGACTGGCAGCAGAGATACAATGACTTTACTTGTGCTTGAGATGTAAAGATATTATAAGAGGAGGCTGACCTTTGGAGACAATAATACAGAATGAGAATATCTAATACCTTCCAGCCTGTTGTACTACAATTCCAACTTGATTGTTGAGCTCTAATGTGACCTTCTGCTCACAGATGATGAGTTGCTTCTAGAATTGATATACTTCTTTTTCTTTATAGATGTAGTGAGTGCAAGACTGTCTTCCACAATAGTTGCCAGGCAAATGTCAGTTTCTGTCCTCGTTGTGTCCGTCGACAGAAATATCACCAGCAACTGCAAGAATTCCTTTGGAAATGATCTCAATTGCCAGTCCGTTGGATAAGATTCTGAAATTCCCCAGAAGGCAATTGGGAAACAGAAGCTTAGGAGTAATGGAAGAGCATTGCCAGCTGTATACCTTCTCTCTGGATTATAGTTCTACAACAACCAGTGCATCTTGCCATCAGCTCTGGGAAAGGAACCCACAGAGATACTTCCTTGAATTCACCCACTATTGTCATTAATTTTCATTTACTTCTGTCTTCCCAAGCAAATTCATCCTTATCTTGACATTTGCTGAATACTGGATATTAAAGGGAAACATGGCAAGAACTCCTAAGAAGACTCGTTTTAGTGGAACTCCTAAGAAGACTGATTTTAGTGGACGTGTCTTGATTTAAATTGCGGAAGAAAGGAAATGTTATTTTACTTTTAACAAATGCACTTTCCAACAGATTTCTTGTGCCTTCTACACTTTACAGACTGCTCTTAAAATGTCTTGTGCCAAAATAGCTGCTGAATTCTCTAGAAAGGCATTCCATTCTTGGTGTCCTCCTCAAGCAAAGTGACCTTCTTATAAATAAACTATTAATCTTCTTTTTTTAAAAAATGCTCAGCATATTTCAAACTTGATTTCAATATTTTCTTTTATTCTCCTATGCAAATAATTAACTTTATGGAATAAATAACACGTCTTTTATGAATCCATTACTTCTGTGCAACAATTTATTTGCAAAGTAACTATAGGCTTCTTATGGGTTTATGTTCATAAAGAGATCAATAACATCCTATATTCATGAATATGGGTTATAGAGAATCCTAATAATACTGAAGAGAAAACGTGGAAGCCTAGATTCTGAAAGCAACTGGATTCATTCATTCATTCAATTTGCACAACTGCACTTCTCAATAAGGGACTCTTGGCAGTGAACAAATTTAAAATACTTCAAATACCAACAATTACAGCAATATAAAAATTAAAACACGTAGCAGCTGAGAAATATACCCTATAATCACTAATACAACCAAAAAAAATAGGCTCTGCACATGCTTGTCCCCAGGCAGATGATGATATTACAGCCAGAATAGGAAGGACTTGCCTTTCTTAGAGAGTATTATAGAAAAAAGACTGGTCTAAGGCAGTGGTTCCCAAAGTGGGTGGTATCGCCCCTTGGGGGACGGTGGGATGCCTTTGGGGGGGTGCTAAGAGGCAAGGGGGCCAGCAGAGGGGGGTGCTAAGAGGTGGCAGGGGAGCATTCGAGGGGCCAGCCCCGCAGGCTCACTGATTGCCGGCCATGCAACCCATTGGCTGTTTCATCGCTCCCTAGCTGGCACCTCAAATTAGGAACCCGCACGCGGTGAGTCTTGCCAAGCCGGGGGGTGGGGAGAGGTGGAAGGTGGTAGAAAGGGGACGCCTTAGCTTACAGGCTGCCCTCTCTGGTGGAAGCGGTGGAGGCGCACCAGAAGGCCCGAAAGCAAAACCCTCCCAAGGCGTGCAGTGGAAGGGGCGGTTGGTCTGGCATTAGGACCCCCTTTTCCAGAAGAGAAGAAAGGAGCGCGCAGCACCTGCCTGGCCTCTGCCTCTCCAGCCAGCTGGGCTTGTGCGCAGAATACAGATGGGTGCAGCTGCGGCTCTCCAAGGCACGTGGCTTGGTTCAGTTCGGTTTGGCTCTACATGGCCAGCCCGGACCTAGAACCTAGCCTCCCTTTGCAGCCCGGTTCTTCCAACCGAGCCCTGCACTTGCTTGCTTACTTTCCAAGTGATCATTCCCTCCGCCTCCGCTGGTCTGGGCTGCTTCTGCACACCTTCCTCCTCCCGGGTGGAGCATTGCAAAATTGGATGCCAAAGAAAGAACTGAGGCAGGGGGCTGGAAAAGGGGCAGAGGGGCAGCTGCATTAAGGAGCAGGAAGATCTTAGCCATGGTTTATTAAGCCAGAATCAAACAGCATGCTAAACTCTAACCAGAATGGCTGGGTTGATATATTCAGCTCATGTTTCTCAATCTTGGCAACTTGTGTGGACTTCAGTTCCCACTCTGGCTTTGCTCTACTTTCCCAAAGTGCCGCTGCTGCTGCATTCTGTCTGTCTGTCTATCTGCCTGCCTGCCTGCCTGTCAATCAATCTATCCATAAATCCATCCAAAAGGTAGGTCTGTCTGCCTGCCTGCCTACCTATCTACCTGCCTACCTATCTACCTGCCTGTCTTTCTGTCTACCTACCTACCTACCCAATATAGATCTATTTACATACATACCTACCTACTTATCTACCTATCTACCTACCTATCCATACATTCATCCAAAAGGTCTGCCTGCCTGCCTGCCTACCTACCTATCTACCTACCAATCTATCTACTTACCTAGCTCTCTCTCTCTCTCCCTCCCTCCATCCATCCATCCATGCTCGAAGTGCCAGCCCCGCAGGCACATCGGGAAAGTAGAGCAAAGCCAGTCTGGGAAGGGGGGAGGGAGGGAGAGATAGAGAGAGAAAGAGAGAGACCTGATGCATCAGATTGAAATGGAGCCTAGTTTAGACTGAGGCCCTTTTCCACATTGAAACATCTTTGGCTTCTATTAAAGGTTTTGCGGACATGATCAAGACTATCAGGAAGCTCTCACATTTTGTTGAGGCTTTAAACAGGATCCATTGGACCAGATCTCCACCCTAAAAATTACTTTTCCCCAATGTATTACCGTGCCAATTCTGAAGAAAGCAAAACCAAAATGTACTGGTAAATTACAAGAACACACACACACACACACACACACACACACACACACACACACTCCCTTCTAACCCTGTTGGAGCAGGTGATTGGACTATAATAGATTTCTCATTATCTTTCTCCTCCCTCCCTCCTTTATTTTTCTTTCTGTCCCTTCCATCCTCCCCTCTTTCTTTGTCCCTTTTTCTTTCTTTCCCTTTTCTCTTTCTTTTCTTCCTTCTCTCTCTCTCTTTTCTCTCTCTCTCTCTTTCCTTCTCTCAGGCTCACCCCATTGACTTGACTTGCTAGGGCAGATCCCTCCAGTGCAGCGGGCTCAATGGAGTGGACCTGCGGGGCCGGCACCTAGAATACGGCAATGGCGGCATATTTGAAAAGCAGAGCAAAGCCAGAGGTCAGTAATTTTTGCTGCAAAGAGTCACAAAAGCTGGGTTGTTCACAAGAAGGGACACATGTCAATGCAATTCAGCAACATAAAGAGATACAAGTAAAACAAATCAACAAGAATCGGCAAAGCTTCCCTGATTAGATTTTATTCACTAGTAGAATCTAATCAGAGATGCTTTGCCGATTCTAGTCCAATGACCTGCTCCAGCAGGGTTAGAAGGGTTAGAAGGGAGTGTGTGTGTATATGTGTGTGCATGGCTATCAGAACTTCAAAAACAGATCATATTGCATCAGAACAGCAATAGAACTTAGACTTAGATATTGCTTCACAGTGCTTTACAGCCCTCTCTGAGTCAGCATATTGCCCCTAACAATCTGAGTCCTCATTTTACCAACCTTAAAAGGATGGAAGGCTGAGTCAACCTTAAGCTGGTGAGAATCAAACTGCCGAAACAACTGACAGCCAGCAGTCAACAGAATTAGCCTGCAGAACTGCATTCTAATCACTGCCCCATCATGGCATGTTAATCTAACATGTGTCATCATGGACATTCCAATATTTCTGCTCCCTCCTCCAAGATCACCCATATATTTTAAAATAATTTTTTTTATTCCTACAAACGTCCTTTTTTCCATAAAGTAAAGTGTTCTGTATTAACATTCTTGAAGACTCGCATTCTGATTGGTCTGCTCAGACCGCAATCCGATTGGTTCGCTGAACGCCTGTGATTGGAGCACTAAGAATCTGCTGCGATTGGCTGAGCCGATCGCGGCAGATTCAAAGCGCTGCCATTGGCCGCCGAGCCGCCGGCCGGCTGTATAAAGCCAAGCGGCTCGCACACTTAAAACTGTCCTTACTCAGAACTTCAATAAAGAGCTGATTGTTCACTTCCGCGTCTCGCCTCTTATGTGACCCGATCCACCGATCTAACATAAAGCTAATTACATAGCTTGAGTCAAGAAACAGAGGAAACACCATATGATATATGGTATTAGTTTGGGTTCCAGTTCTGCATCTGTCAGCATCTTGCTTTGGAGAGTACAATTTTTTCAAGGATGTACATGTACAAAATAATTTATAAACTTTAATTTAATAGTACACACAGAAAAAAAGACACGTCCTATATATACTTTAGTTCCTTGTTCCATCCTCTTATTTAGATCACGTGTTTAAATTTAGTTTCAAAGTTATATAGTTATATTTTGGAGTTGTTCAGACAGATTTTCAAGTTCTTCCAGGAAAGAGAGAGGAAAGTATATTGAGAATTGAGCAGTCATGCATATTCTGTTATATCCATATTTGAATTAAAATTCCATTGAAAGAACTCCCAAATGAAGTGCGCATTTCAAAATTTATTAGGCTAATCATATTGCTGCTGTCTCCAACCCCCAGACAAGAAATTCAAACTGGCAGGAAAAGCCTTTTTTGCTGAGGCTGCCACCATGTACAACAGGAGTGTCAAACTCGATTTCATTGAGGGCCACATCAGGGTTGTGTTCGACCACTGGAGGCCAAGGAAGTATGGCCAGCTCGACGTCACTCATGTCAGGGGGGCATATGGTGGCCTGAGTGCTTTGCCAGCAAAAATGGGCTCCTGAGTTCTGTTTTTGACTGTCACGGCCTCCTGCAACCCTCTGCCAGCAAAAACACAGCTCTATTTTCACTGGCAGATGCACTGTGGGGCGGTCCTTTGCTGTTTCCAGGGCAGCCCTGCGGGTCAGATCTAAGTACTCCCACCCCACAGGCTGGATCCAGCCTGTGGGCCTTGAGTTTGACACTCCTACTATGGAACCTCATGCCCCTGAAGTGAGATTCACTCCCCAAAGGGCCTGAAGTCCTAGCTCTGCCAACTAACTGGGACCATGATGTGGACATATCATTCTGGAAGTGGTTAGTGGACTAAGATAAGACCTCATTTCCCATATTTCTCCTTTTCTCACCATCTGTCAATTTTTAAATAATTATTATTTCAGTGCTTTACCTTGTTGCTTTTATTAATTGTAAACTGCCTAGGAATGGACAGCATAGAAATTAAATAATACATACATACATACATACATACATACATACATACATACATACATACATACATTATTCCAAAAAGAATTGTTTTTCTAAAGCAACATTATGTAATTCTCACACATCCAAGATTTGTCTCTTGTTCCTTTTTTATCTTCATATTTTACCTAGTCTGCCTCCAGTTTTACTTTTTTATGTTATTTAATAAATTTGTATCCACCCT